ACCTCTAGTTGGCCTTGCTGATGTGGAAGGTTAAAACTTAGTATAGTTGAATATACAGTTTTTGCAGCATTATTGACAATAACCAAGATTTGGAAGCAGCCCAAGTGCCCATCAGTAGGTGAGTTGTGTATATTTATACAATGAAATTCTACTCAGCCATAAAGAAAAGAAGGAAATCTTACCTTTTGCATGGATGGACCTGGAGATTATGATGCTAAGTGGAATAAGCCAGTCAGAGAAAGATAAGTACCATATGATTTCACTTACATGTAAAATCTATTGAAAAAAAATAAACTAACAAGCAAAAATATTAACAGACTCATGTATACAGAAAATAGAATGACAGCTGTCGGAGGGGAGGAGGGTTGCGGGGCCAGGTGCAAAAGGGGAAAGGAGTAAGTAAAAAACAACTCACAGACACAGGCAATGTATGGTGATTACCAGAGAGCAAGAGGGATGGAGTGAGGGAGGAGAGTAAAGGGGGGATAAATGACTTGGGGTGTGAACACAAAATACAATATACAGATGATGCACTATAGAGTTATACACATGAAATCTATATAATTTTATTAACCTATGTCATGCAAATAAATTCAATTAAAAAAACAAACAGTACAGTTGACTCTTGACCAATGTGGATGTTAGGGTTGTTGACCTTCACACAGTTTAAAATCCATGTATTACTGGCCCTAGTTGGTTTTACGCAGTGGATAGAGCATTGGCCTGCAGATCAAGGGGTCCTGGGTTCCATTCTGGTCAAGGTTTGATCTTGGTTGCAGGCTCTTCCCTGGCCTGGGCGCTGATCAGGGATTGTACAGGAGGCAACCAATCAATGTGTTTCTCTCACATTGATGTTTCTCTCTCTTTCCCTTTCTCTTCCACTCTGCCTAAAAATCAATGGGAAAAAACACACACCCATGTATTACTTTTGACTCCTCAAAATTTAATTACTATTAGCCTACCATTGATCAAAAGCCTTACTAATAACATAAACAGTCAATTAACACACATTTTATATGTTATATGTATTACATACTGTAAGGAAATAAAGTAAACTAGAGTAAATCTCACTGAGAAAACCTTCAGGAAGAGAAAATACATTTGCAGTAATCATTTAAAAAATCTGTGTGCAAGTGGGCATGTACATTTCAAACCCATGTAGTTCAAAAGTCAACTGTAATCTAAAAAGGGGAAACTATTATTTTATCAGTTTCCTCTCCTTAAGGAATTTGGAAAAGCTTTTCCAGGACCAGGTCTAATAACATTTGAGTGGCAGTACCTACTGTCCTACTTGGAAGGGATCACCCGGGAGCTAAAATGAAGCTCAGGGCCCTGACTTCCTCCCCTGAGGGTTTGTTCGGTAGATATTCTTGGAGTAGTTAGGTGGTTGTCTTTGTGTTTAAGCACCTTTCGTGTTGGAGGCAGGTGTACAAACTGCAGAAAGGAAGCCTGAGTTGGCGGTGGCCTCTGCCTGGGGCAAGTCACTTCGCCGGCTCAGTTTCTCATACATAAAGTGGAGATAAAACGCTCCGTCTCTTCATGTTGCTGTGAGGCTTCAGGTAAATATGGTGCCTCATAAGTCTTGGCACATAATGAAGTGTTTACTAATTGTTAGCTACAGCTACTGTTATTATGGACTTTTTTCATCATTGTCATTACTTTCCATGCTTTATCATCTGCACCAATTTTCTCTAATGCCAGGCTTGCAGAGTGTGGTGCAGAAGTACTCTCCTCTCTGGAACTGTCCTTCTGTGAATTTTAACATCATCTGTGTGGTTCTCTTCCTTCCTGCTCTCTCCCCTTCCCCCTACTTTATTGGTGCCAGCCTCTTTCCTCATAGAAAAGTCACAATGAAAATATAAAAGGCAAATGAATCTATATTATCATGTTTTCTTCATATTTTAATTCAATTGAATAGTTGAGCAGGACAGTTTATAGTTGGCAGAGGTTTAATTTCCAGATTTATTAAATTAAATGGCCATATAACAATATTGCAGAAAGGGGTGCTATAATTCTTTGTTGGAGCCCCAAAACACTAAGGCATCATTCTTGCCCATAAGTGGATTATAATCTGTTTGGAGAAATGTGATGAACGCATATAAAAAGACAAGATTACTTATGGCTGTAAGTGCCACAATATCAAGTAAAGTTGTGGTAAATTAAGCGATATCCTTCCAGGCTGACACAGTGTAAAAGCAAGTAGGGCTTGTGCTCAGTCCTTAAAGGATGTGCAGTGTAGAATTTGGTAAATTTTTAGGGAGGGTTTTGTTTTTTTGTTTTTTGTTTTGGTGTCAGGCGTGGGATAAGTGGGAGATTTTGATAGTGGGATTATATACTGTGGAATAAAGGAGCAGTATTAAACTGCTCTGGCTGGTCAGTTTCTCCACACTCTCCAACCATTTTTTTAGTCAACAACCAACTCCCTTTTTATTTGTTCATCACTTTTTTCCCTTCTGAATTCTTGAATTCTTTGGGATTTATTTGGCCTTTTTGCTTTTTTTTTTTTTTTTTTTTTATGCAACAATATGCTCTTCTTTTTCTATAGTTCTTTAGTAGAAAAAGATATAGATTCTTTGTCTTCCCTAGCCTTGTGTTTCTGAAACATGAACCCAAATAACATTTAAAAAAAGATGTTATAGTCTGGCCAACGTGGCTCAGTGGTTGAGTGTTGACCTAGAACCAGGAGATCACGGTTCGATTCCTAGTCAGGGCACATGGCCTGGTTGCGGGCTTGAGCCCCAATATGGGGCTTATGGGAGGCAGCCAATCAATGATTCTCTCTCATCATTGGTGTTTCTTCCTCCCTCCCTCCCTCCTTCCTTCTTCCCTCCCTCCTTCCTTCCTCCCTCCCTCTGTCCTAGGTAGGTTTGCAACTTGATATGGACATTCTCATGGCCTGTCTCCCAGATACCATTATGGAATCTCTGCTAGTTCTTGTCTTCAGTCTCTGGTCTCTGCAATAGACCAAGACACTGGGTTTAGCCTAAAGTTATATGACGGCATCACTTCCAGGTGTGGTGTGGTTCTCGGTTATTTTTAGGACTCGCTTCCTGACCTCTTCTGGTGTTTCCCCTCTGTTGCCTCAGGCTGCACCATTCATCAGGTAGACTCTTCAGCTTGTCCCAGCATTCCTGGGCCCTGGAGCTTTAGCTGAGGCTGTCTACAGTCCCAGTTGGCCTCCCTTAGGCTTCATGCTATGAAAGACCCAGCCATTGCTCACTTTCTCCTTTACAGGGAGGGTCTCCTTGGCCTTGTATTGGAAATTGCTATCGGATTCAACTCTTGCTATTATCCATGGGACCTTGATAATAAGAATCATCATCCTGTTTATTTTACTTTGCAAAACTTTCACAGCATTTTCATGTCAAAGGCACATTACTAAGTGCTTTTAAAAGGTGGTTAACATTTTATCAAAGTCTAGGTATTACAAACCAAGAGGTATTCTCTCAGAAGCAGGTTAGCTCTGGATATATTTTATGGGGTGTGTTTATAATTAACTATTGTAATAGAGTAATGGTAAAGACTAGGAAAATCATTCTTAAAAGCCAGTGTAAGTGGATTTTATTATTTCACGACTTTGGTAAAAGGCGAAAGATTTATGCGATCTGAAGAGAAACCAGAGCATTATTTCATGACTTTGGGACGATGTGTCATATTGTTCTTCAGCGTAGACAAGAAATACCAACATTTGAATAAAGGGCCTTTGAGTGACTGCATTTCCACATGTTTATTATCCTGTGTTCGTTCTCTTTTCCTTTGTGTTTAGTGCTTAAGAAAACTGTTTTAAAACACTTTTCCAGTCTGCTGGTCACTGTTTAGTCTTGTGTTCCCTGAGGGTATTTTAAACACAGTAAGCGTAGTTGCTTCATCTTCAGATAGATTATCCCCACATCTGAAGCATTTACGGATCTGTTTCTCCTGATTTTTACTCTTGGGGGCTTGTTTTCTTGTGTGTTTTAGGTAAGGTTCCCTCCTCCCCTGTAATCTGTTCATTATCTTTAATGATCATTTATTGGGATTGTTTGAGGCCCAGGATGAGTGACTTCTCTGGGACCACCCCAAGATCAGAAGTTCTTAGGTTCCCAGGACCACTCAGGTGAGGGGGGCCCAGGCTGAGGAGGGCTGGCGGTGGCCACCTCTCAGAGCAGGTGGCTTTCTCTCCCTCTTCCGTTGGTTCTGCTCAGGGGACAGGGTGGGATTGCTTGTGGCTCATCTTATTCTGAGGAAGGAACCCAGCTGACCACATGACTTTGGTGCTCCGCTTTATTTTTTCATTTCCCCCCAGATTTTGTCCTGGTTATTTCTTACTATCTCGTGGCTCTTTTGTTTTTAAGAAGATTTCTTATTTCCAGTCGTTTTAGTTGTCTTCAAAAGAGGTTTGGCCTGCATAACCTAAGCTACTGTTATTAGACATGGAAACCTTCCTTATTTGGTCTTTAACAGTCCTGTGAAGTCAGTGTGTAGGCAGATGACTGGGGAGCTTTAGGAGATAAGGGAGCTGAGACTGGCAAAAGTGTAGTGATTGGTTTAAGATCATAGAGTAAGTGGCAGAGCCTGGAACTCCTGAGTCTGAGTCTACCTTTCTGCCTTTGAGCCTTTTTAAAAATATATATATTTTACTGATTTTTTACAGAGAGGAAGAGAGAGGGATAGAGAGTTAGAAACACAGATGAGAGAGAAACATGGATCAGCTGCCTCCTGCACACCCCCTAATTGGGGATATGCCCGCAGCCAAAGTACATGCCAGAATTGAACCTGGGACCTTTGAGTCCACAAGCTCCATCCACTGAGCCAAACCGGTTTTGGCACCTTTGAGCCTTTTTCAACTGGGTATATTCTTAGAATTTTGAATGAAGCACCAACTTGTTGAGGAGTTTTAAAAAACATGTAATACCTTTACAAAATCATTTAGAACATTGATTGATATATGTTACATTGGTGCCTTCACTCAGATATGGTATTTTAAGTGGAAAATAATAATTGCATTTTCTTTCTTTCAGCTGAAGTGAGTAATGAATACAGTATGGATAAGGCAATGATTGAATTTGCTATGATGGATCGGGAACTAAATCATTATGTAAAGGCTGTTCAGTCGGCGATAAATCATGTAAGTTTATACCATTCACCTCGTTATATTTGGCGACAACTCTGACCTAGAAATAAAAACACAGAATCAAAATTCTTCCTTAACCTTTACTATTTCCTTATTAGTTTTTTCTGTAGCAGCCATTAATTTTTTCCTGTAGCAGCCATTCATGTCTTCTTAATCAGGAAGTTCATAGAGTAGGAATCTTAAATATTTTCCCAGTTAGGCCACCCACATTTAATTAGAACATTACATCTATTTTAGGTTTTCCTGCATCTTTTGGTGTCAGACTTTTTAGTCTAAGTCTCCTTAGACCTAAAAATTCCCTAAAACTTGTTTTTATTTTTCTGTTTGCTCAAGCATACAATTTAGATCCGTTTTAGTTACTCATTCTCCAGCTTTAACTAATTTGCAGCTCTTGCAAAATTCATAGAATCAGATAATACGGAAGAGTTTCAGAACAGGTTTAAAAATAAAGAAGCTTGGCATTTTGGTTTTTCCAGAAGCCAAACTTATCTTTGTTGACTCCAGCTGTCACAGGAACAACAGATAGGCAGTTAAGGTGGGAACATAGCAACCTCCTTTTCAGCAGTACCGGGTTGAGTAAGAAGTGAGCAATCCGATTGCAATAATGTTTCTGAGAAGTCTTTTGTCTTCTGAGCAGTGGAAACTCCCCCTTTGAACTTATTTCATATACCTGTGTAATAGGATGTCTTGTACTTCTGGTTTCTTTATTTGCCTTTTCTAACCTATCTATGGGAAAATTCCAAAAATCAAATATTTTACAAGATTGGCTGCTAGTCAGGGGAAGATAACATATTAAATATGGCTTAATATCTAAACCATGCTTAATGAGCATTACATAGTTATATGAAGTTATGAAAAGTTATGAAAAATTAAAAATTTCCTGGTTTAAAATTTTTCCCTTTTCTGGTTGTTTGTATTGACTAGTATTTATTAAGTGTATTATTTGTGGTTAAATTAAGAATATTTGCTTATATCTAAGTAATAAACTCCTTCAGCTTATAAAATTCTGATGTCTCTAAGCATGGTGACTGTTAGTCTTGGTATGGGGACTATTTCTTGCATAGGAAAATACAAAAATGACCTCCTCAGACCACTCAGACCAGAGGCTTTTGATTCTAGCCCACCCCTAGAACTAGCCATCTCTACTCCAAAGAGATTCTGATTTCATTGGTTTGGAGCAGGACTGAGGGACAGTCTTTGTAAAAGCTCATATTAATATATGTCTCCAGGTTTGAAAACCACTGATCTCAAATAACAAGACTGACTTTCTAGAATAAAGTGTGTTTGTTACCAGCCATATTGTGTAAGTCAGTCCTGCTTCGACCCGTACGTTCTGTGGAAGTTATTTGATAGGCTTGTCTGTCTTTCACTTGGAAGTTGTGCAAATGTAACAGCACAGTGAACATCAGAGATAACAGAGTTGGGAAGTTAAAGAATTTAACGTGGATATTTTTATTCCTATGGAACTCAAGGATTCACAGATACTTAAGGTATTTTTACATAAAGAATTGAACTTTTCCCTCCTTAGAACACTGAGCCACTCATAAAAAAACAAAAGTTAAAGACAAAGATTCCCCCACCCTCACCTTGCCTTCATTCATTCAGTAGTTAACAGAATTTCTTTCATCGCATTGCCCCCACCCTACTAAACAGAAGATTATGCTTTGGTTTTCATCTCACTTTTTGGTGCTAACCTCAGACTGTGGAGCAACTGGATTTAGTGATTCTTGTGCTGTTAGGAAGGTCCCTGGTCTTTCATAAGAAGAGGAAACATAATTTTGTTATTTTCTGAGGCAAAGTTGTGCTCTCTATGTAAGCTTGACACAAGACCAAGAATAGTAGACCATAATTTTAGAAGGTTTCTAGATCTGAAACCATATGGGGACATGACTTGTATTTTGAGGAACATGTTTTACCCCTCTTACTGTACTGTGTTCTTTATATACTTGAAGTTATGGACATTGCTATCTTGTTGCTTGTTTTGGTGAGGGATAAAAATGAACACTAGCTTGGGAGGGGCCAGAATGGTATAACTCTTTAGAAATAGCAATGATCTCAGGATCAGAAACCCTTCTAACCCTAATTAGTTCTTCCATTTTCTAAGTTATGATACTGGGTCAACAAAGGAAACCCTTTGGAACTTTATGTTCTTCATCTGTTAAGTCCTTGGCTTGCCTATTTCACAAGATTATTTTGTGAGTCAGATTAGAGCACTGTGTGTGTATCAAACCCTTTGACATTCATAAAATTGGATGAAGATATGTTACTGCTGCAAACCCAGATTTCCAAATGTGTTACTTAGAAAGATGGAACAAAAGTTTTCTTAAAAACAAGTACTTTGCTCACTTCATGTCAGGGCTTTGAAATAAAACATACATTGGCTTTGACCTGTCCTAGTCTAGAATTCAGTAAACATAGGATTAGATATAAGCTGGTTAAGTTCCAGTATGAGGTGTTCATGATCCCTAAAACAGAAACTGTTTTAAGTGAGATTACTCAGAAAGAATGCAGATAATAGGAAACTGAATGAGTCCCTGCTTAATTTCTGCTCTGCGCAGACTTTGAAGAGCTGCAGCACACCCATTACTATGTCATCTGCTCAAATTCTAATCCATCCTATGGTTTTTCTATGTATGAATGTTCATATAGTCATGTTGCATTAAAAAAAATGTAACCACCTAAAAGCTGTAGAGCTTATTATTTAAATAAATGTCTCTCTCCCACTCTCACGTTCACAGAATTCTGAAGGCTGTCTACCTCTGAGGAGGTTTTAGAAGTTTACTTTGGAACCTTAGAGGTATAGGTCAGTTTACCCACAATCCCTGGGAACCCCCTTTCAACTGAAGCTCTCAGATTGCCTCTCTTTGTCCTTTGAGAAAATAGAGCTGCTGTATATTCTCCAATGCCTGAAGATTTTATTTGGAGTCAGTATTCTTTTCAGTGCTCTGGAAAAAAAAGAAATAGGACTTTGCAGGGGGAGTATTATGCAGTGAGCACTAAAGAAAGTCTGTGTCATTTCTAAGAACTCAGAATAAATGGGTTACATACCTGTCACAATTCTTTAAGTGTTCATTTCGAACCACAGAGTGCGGTATGACTTCTTGGGTCAGATCCGTCATGAGACCACCAGATGATGGAAGGGTTTTGAAAGCTGCAAAATGGGTGCAATCACTGCCTTTCTCTGTCATTGCCGGGGAAAAGCTTGAGAGAGAGAGAGAGAGAGAGAGAGAGAGAGAGAGAGAGAGAGAGACAGACACACACACACAGACATATCCTCAGGGGAGGATTTAAAAAAAAGGATGGGTGTCGTGAAGCTAAATGATGAATGTCCTAACAGGTTTCATGTGTCTTTAGCAGTTAGTGATAAATACACATCCTCTTTGCTTTCTCATGAGTGGTCTCTTCCTAGAATTTAGCAAAGTAACCATAGCTTGAGATTCACATTATACTTCAGCATTTATTTTTTTTAGCATGATACTTAATTGTGTAATGTTACTTTAACAAATTTTAAATTTGAAAAGAATGGTCAGGTTTTCTTATATATAATTCTTTTAATATATGCTGTTTCCACGTGTTTATGTTTTGAAAAATCCAGAGCATTTGTATTTTCTTCACTTTCCTTTCCTACTCTCTTTAGTGCTACGTGTATCTTATAGGTTATGTAAAATTTGAAAACATTGAAATTGGGTTATTGTGGCACTTTTTTTTTTTTTTTTTAAGTTAGTGTTTTATAACAATTGCCACTAAAAGCCTGGGGAGGGAGAGTATTTTTCTTCTTAACCTAATAGGAACAATTAAGGGCTAAATTGATCTGCTTGTGTTGTTTCTTATAAATCTGTTCATGGATGTGCCCTGAGTGCTGTGGTTTCTACTTGATAAGCCAATTCAAACACTTAATCTGGTTGAGAGTTAAAAGAGTGGAAATATACCTCGTGTAAGCTGTTGAAACCAGCACAATCTTAGATATAATAAAAGAATGAGGTGGGTCAAGGTATAGCTTACCTCAGCCTTATGCAACTCATTTAGAATGTTTTTGACATGTCACTTCCCTGTGCCTCCTCACCCTTCTGTCCTCCATCAATGGGTAAACTTCACCTTTTGTAAATCTTACTTTAAAGTTACCCTATCCTTCACTGCTTGAACATCAACTCTTACGGAGTATCTTGCAAATTGGAAGTTACCATTTTAGTTGAACCAAATTTGGGAAGTATTTTTTCACTTAGAAAGCTAATAATTTACAGTATCTGAAGAATGTTCCAGGCCAGATGGTGTAGTTTACTGGTTATGATTGTTTACTGACTAAAATGTGAGGTGCACCCACATTGTGGATCATTGACAAAAGAGAATGCAGAGGAAGGGGGTTATAAAACTTGGGGACAGGAGATTCTCAAGCATCAGAGAAATGACTGTTATGGCAGAACAGCATGAAGATGAGAGAGGCCGGTGGGATTAGTGAAAACCTCCTGGAGCATTCCTTCTTCTCCACTCCCTGTCACACACACCTGCCACTGCACAGTGGTATTGTCTCTTCACACCTTTCTTGTCAGAAATTCCCAAGTGATTTATCTGAGCCTTTTCTTCTATAGGAATTAACCAGGAAAGAAAAAGGTGACTTTAGGAATTCTCTCTTCAACCACTTGGCCCCAGGATGTGTTTGGTGATCACTGGAAATTCACTTCTATGCCAGTGCTTTAGAACTCCCTCTGTAACTACTTCCAAATTAAGGTTGGGTTTGGTAGCATTTTGTCTAATGTGCAGAGAGAGTTAGGTTTGGATATAGGATGTCACTAATTGGGTTGCCTCTATAGGAAAGAATCCAGATAGACATTTCTCAGGTCACCAAGCAATGTAGCTGCTAATAGCAAACGTTATGGTCTGTGCTCCATTGAGGCTGGTGTTCATGGGTAGTTTATAGAAATCTATCTTCGTGTTTTGTAGTTATTAAATGCTGGAATATAAAACCCTTACACTCTGCCGGGCCTTAATGTGCCTAT